ATTGAACATTCGTTTATTTTTTTTCTGTTGTCTTCAACATAGGTTGTCGTGTGAATCGAACACCGAAGATGACACTACTTGACGTAAGGCAAGCCAACGCAGGCTAGCGGGGATCGGCATGGGGTCAAAATAATCGAAGTTTATTATACTGCGATGTCAAAGAATCCAAGTGATGGTTTGAGAATGTAGTGGCCAACTATCCCGGCATGATTCAATTGGAGGCGCCAAAAAAGAGATCGTTGCTCTCCCGCTTCCCACATTGCATATTGATTGTCATATTGGTGGAAGTCGGTAAATACGTGCGTTTCGTCTGACTGTAATGTAACCAATGCAAAGCGTGTTTTTCCCGCCACCTTCTGAAACTAAGAACATAGCCAGAGGGCGGCGCATGTTAACTATCGCTCTCCTGAATCAATGGAAGGTGGTGGGGACAAACTGTGGGAGGACGCACTATTCGTGCATTGAGCCACTTTCAATCAGGCGCCACATGTTCCACAGGTCACCCACTCACCTAGTTAAGTGTGGGTAGTACCCATACTTCCCGACCGCAGCTGCGGCAGCACTTATTATGGATCGGCGGTGCCGGAGGTGTCCCAGTGCGAGCCCCCACGCGCGACTGCAGGACACGCCGGGCGCCTCTGGCCGCCGCCTTTCCGAGAGGACAATGAACTGCTCTGGCGGTCACACCCACAGGGAAGGAGACCCATTGTGTGGTGCTGTGTGACCTGCAGCCGGTACCCAAGGGAGCCTCTGTTGGCCCCGGTGAACGGCTCCCCGCGGCGCTGGCGGGCCAAGATCGGTGTCACTGAGGGTTCACCGGACCAGTACACCCGCTGCGGAAGGTCTGGTGACGGTCAGCCCGGCCCGGCCGTTCCGGCGCGGCGCCGGCGGGCCAAGATCGGTGTCATTGAGGGTTCACCGGACCGGTACACCCGCTGCGGAAGGTCTGGTGACGGTCAGCCCGGCCCGGCTGTTCCGGCGCGGCGCGTTCGAAAGCCTGTGCCGCACGGGGTGACTCAGATACACCCGGATTAAAACTATTCCGGGCGATTACATATGAAACCTGCAAACACTGTTTACGCGCAGAGCACATCTTCAGTTATGCACTTGCTGGTGTTGTTTCAGGTTTCATACCATGCCATGCAGGTTCCCATGTAGCTTCAATACGTCGTCATTGATAGGACGCGAAATCATTGGTCAGCCGTTGGGGAATGGTGCCTGTCTTTGGAGGATAATTTACATGGATACATGTGCATGTGTTTCTAAAAAAAAAACATTTTCCCGATGCTCTTAGATGTCACATGAATGGGAGATTCATCCATGATTCTGAAGTACTCTAAACCATCCAGTGGTTTTAAAGATGCACTTCAGTGGCTCAGTAATCGTGGCGTGCGCTGCCCGTGGCTGGGCGGCATTTGCCCAGGGCGGTGGATAGCTGTGTAGCACGGACCTCACATTGGCCGAACATAAAGCTGCATGAGCCAGATGCTGCCCCCACTCATCCGATCTCATGGGGAGATGTGGCACATGTGCAACGCGCAGCGCGGGACCCATCATGCCTAGCGTGTGCGGCATGAGTGCCACCGGTAGCGTCACCATAAAGTGGATCTTTTTACCTCATGACCAATGCCGCCGAGATCCGATCTGCTATAGTGATACATACATGTGTAAAGCACAAAAGCTAGAGCTCCTGAAAAGCGACTGGATTTCAAGCACCGCTGACCTAAGCGATGGCTGGGAGCAGTGCTGTGGCTGAGTGCACAGGTCTCGTCGCGTCTGCAGTTGAGTGCACAGGTCTCGTCGCGTCTGTCGCACCAGCCGTTGTCTCTGAGCTAACGGCATCGCTGTCAGGACATCCGGATCAGGAGAGGTTCAGGGAAGGCCAGGATTGATTCTCAGCGGCAGATGACCCAGTGGCAAGGCTGCCGCACGTCTTCCAAATACCGGTCTCGTTCAAGGAGGGTTGTTGGTTTCCAATAACGGCTTCATTGTCCGGTTGTAAATGGGTCTGTGCCCGTTTACTTGCACCGGGAAATTACCCCACACCATCAAAAGATTTAGCTGTTTCCGTTACCTTCCTCTCGCCCTGGTATTCATGTTGCCGCTCCAGGACAGGCAACCGCCATCCACTTCCATGAATGAGCCACCGTTCAATTTCAATTTTCAGAAATCTTATGCATGCGCCCAATTTTATGCGCGTTCGCAAGACTTAGCAACACAACCTCGACACCAGGCGTTGCAGTCTCATTAGGCCGCACAACATCGGCCCGGTGGATAACACCGAGCTGCGGCCAACGGGTGGACGAACATGGTGACGCATCTGAAATGCGTTTGCAAAAACCTTTGAACGCTTAAGGATATTACATCAATGCAACTAAATGCACCGTGGTTCTTTATGTGCCCTACAGCCGGTGCTCTGGGCCATTATGCCATCCAGCCGGGCCTTTGATCGTCGGTTCCGGTGACCCACCGGGCCCCTCTTTGGGCCTCATCAAACACTGGCCTTAGTCGCCCCGGGGCCCATCGCGAACACAGGATCCTCTGCTAGGTACTGTGAGCCCCTGACAGGTACAGCCCCTGGCCGACCAGTGTAAATCGCTGGCCCCGGCTTTGAAGCTGATTGGCAAGTGGGCCCTAAGACCCATACCGACACGGAGCCGACTTTGCGACACTGGTGGTGCCTACTAGACAGATACGCCCATATCGACTCAAAAAGTCTCCGATCGGCACAAAAAGCGTCCTGACTGTTGTCTAAGCGCCCGTCCCTGCAGGCCAGGCCCCTGGGAAAGACTCCGACCAGTCCTTCGTGCCCTCAAGCCCTCCAATCGAGCCCTTAATCATCGGTCCCCGGTGGGCCTTCTGGGCTCTCCGGGCCTCCTCGAACACTGTCTCTGGCCGACTCGGGGCCCCCAGCCAACGAAGTGCCCTAGTTATGCGCTGTGGGGCCCTGACAAACGCTGGGGCGCCGGTCAATGTAAATCGTGTGTTCTTGCTTTGTCCCTGCTTGGGGAATGGACCCTCAAGCCCATGCCTACAAGGAGTCGAGTGTGCATTATTGGGGGTGTCTGACCGACGTATAGGTCCTTAGCGACTCAGGCGGTGCCTGATTATGCCCTCAGAGCCCTCAAATTAGGGTTTGCACGGGGCACTTAATTGTAGATCCCGGGGGCCCGAAAGGCCCATCGGAACCTAAAGGACGGGGGGGGGGGGGGGGCATTTGCTCTCTGTTCCTCCCCCCAGCCTGCGTTACTGCCCGAGTGTGCAGATCGAGCGGGCAGGGGTCGCACGTGTGCTCGGGTGATTTCCTGATCTTCTCATACAGCAGTGCTGAGTACTGACGTCTCACACAGCAGTGCTGAGTGCTGACACCTCACACAGCAGTGCTGAGTGCTGACACCTCACACGGCGGCGCTGAGTGTTGACACCTCACACAGCAGTGCTGAGTGCTGACGTCTCACACAGCAGTGCTGAGTACTGCGTCCGCCAGCAGTCTGAGGCGCTATGCTCCCGTCGCGACGCGCTATCAACGCAGCGATGGCGCAATCGCAGCTGTGCGCACACGGCGTCGTTCGGTGTCGTTCCCGTAACGACAGCAAGGCGCGTGGCGACCTGAGATGTGTTGCGTTATTTCCATGGTTACGGGGCGTCAGTGGCGGTCGGGAGGCGGGCGATCCGGGTCGTGATTTCAGTCGGTCGCCGGTGAGCTGGACGGACGGCGGCCGCGGTCTGCGCCATGAGAGCCGTTCGAGGTGAGTCGAACAGGCGGGTCCGACCCACGCCGATTTTCGCCGTCCCCCGCCTCACACGGGCTGGCCCGC